TTTCAGTAGAGCACAAGGATAGATTATATTATGTAAAAGTGCCTCCACGACTGAGAGCAGTTCTAGAATATGCTCAAGAAATGTAATTCCATGAGCTAATACGGTGCCACTCCTCAGTCAATGGCCAGGAAACCTACCAAACTGAAGGACCAAATTCTTTGGTCTACAGAGAAGAAAAACAATCATATTATCTCCCTTAAAAAAAGCCATTGCCAGAACAGAATCTGAAGACAGAAATTGAAAACATCTTCCACTTTGCATACTGAAACAGTGGCAAAAGACAAGTCACACACAGGACTTAGGAGCCAAAGACCCCTTGTCCTTAATTTTCAGTGAGTTCTAGCACCCCATAGCACTTCAGAAATAATTTATTTCTGAAATGTTTTTGCACATACAGCAGATTTTTAAAAAAAGTAATATCTATGAGCCACGTTTAAGTCAAGGTAGATCAGATTGGTTGCCCTAACAAGAAGTGCATTTAGCTAACCAGCAATAAAACATTTGTATTTAGGCTTTATAATCTCATTTATATTGACCTAAATGTTCCTCTGCCATTTCCTTCAATATCATAAAAAACCAAATCTCATTGACATGGATGAAACTTACAATATTTAAAAAAAAATACATAAATGGTGCATTAAAGAACTCTGGAAGGAGAAAGCCCAGATTACAAATCATGCCTAAATTAGAGATACATTTTAAGCAGATGAACCACAGTGATATTAAAAGATTTTCGTGACCTGCTTTGGCTTCCTGACTGTCATGATAAGCCACTCCTACACATTCTTCTTTTTAAATAAGCATTAAAGAATTGACAGACTTACATTTTAGAGAAGGAATCAAAACCCCAGGAGTTCAAAATACAAATTCAGATATTGAATTAGACTCAGGTACATATGCCTGTTACTGTAAAAAAAAAAAAAAAAAGAGTATGTGCTCCTGCAAACAGCTTCTTTCTGTGCTATAATTACTCAAACAAATAATATCCTGCCGTAGTAAATTTTCACCAGCTTATAAGGTGATGAAGTTCTTACAGTGGATGGAGTATCAGTTGAACAATCAATGGAAAGTCCAAAACTTTCAGGAAAGTCACTAAGGAGACAGTAATAAGAGGAGGAAAATCATAAGCAAAAAAGCTTTAGCCTACAAGGGAATACCTGTAACAGCTAGCTATTTAACCTCCTAAGCAGATGTGGCTTAGGTAGTCGCAGGTTTATGTTTATTATTATGTTTATTATTACACAAATAAAGATTTTTAAGCTACAACTATTGCAGTGGCCGAACACAAATTCTAGAGAACGATGCACACAGTCACTTGACTGTAACAGGTCCTGAAGTTTACCACAGGTCTATCATTTCATGGAGAGCAATGCTTGGAGTACAACATCCTAATTATAAAGTGTTATAGTGAGGATATTTTTTAAAATAAATTCACTTAATAAACAGTTAGTGATACATTTCCAGTATGTTCTAATCTTGATAAATTAGTTGACATCTTTTAAATAAATGCCAAACCACAGTGTTTCCAATTAGTACTTTGCAAATATACAATTGTCCTATTAAATCTAAATTGACTGCAGATTTAATAAATCTTAATTCAAAGCACTATGATGTTTTTTGTTGCCAGACAGATGGAAAAAAACTCTTCCATCAAAATACAAACTAAGGCCAAAAATAAAAAAATTCCAAATAAAAAAAAAAATCCATTTGAAGGAGGAAAAATGATGAGAAGAGATAAGGAAAAAATAAATGCCTATAAAATAATGATAGGTAGACCTCAATTTCTGGCCATCTAACTTTATTTTCAAAATCTGAAATGCTATATTAAGGTAGTTTCTAAAAGATAAAGCTGTATTTGAAGGAAACAAACACAAAAGTAATGAAAACTATTTCTAAAAAGTCAGAAAAATATTTTATTTAAAGCAAATAGTGCTGCCTCTGTGGTAACTGAATGCTCTGACAGACAGTTACAATTGCACTGGCTACAACAGTCTCAGAAGGTCATATGTTCTTCTATACTACATAAGAAATAGTCAAGCCATGGTATATTAATGCTGTCTTACTATTTTGTAACAAAGTTTAGAAAAATCATTATCTTTCTTAATACAGTGAATTAACTACACGTTTAGCAAATGCTCAATTTGTGTCTTTTATCTTGTTTCTACTTAAGGAGCATGGAAAGGGAAATTACAATTTTAGCAATGTCAGGCCCTCCTGTGAGAAAGAAGGTGTACCTAAACAAATAGAGTAGCCAACCAAAGCTGGAGGGAGCTGTAATTTCTGAACTCTGTGTGCTTCCTCCCCCTAAAATTGTAGAGGTTACCATGGATGCAGACAAAGATGAAAGGTTCAGGATAGGTTTTGATAAATTAACCAGACCAATGTTAAACCGACAACCCAGGTGACAGACTTCATCTTACTCCTTAATTCCATTTTGTTTTTTTCTCAGGAGATTATTTCTTGTTAGAGCAGTTCAGTTCAAGTCATTAATTATTAATATTTCTTGGAAAATTAACAAAGTGTAGCTCTTCTCTTGGGCATTCTTCTACAGAAGAGAGTCAACACTTTCCAGTTCTGTGTCCAAGTGTACTGCATTCTCATAGCGCAGTGTTCAGGAGGAAAATCAGCTCCAGCAGGAAACTCGACATCGATTTCAAGAGACAAGCAGTCTCAAAATTACATGATTCACTGTTACTAGAAAAACAATCTAGAACCACTTAGCAAATTCATGACACACATACTGCTTACATGTAGAAAAGAAAATTAGTCCTGAAATTCAAAGTTTCCATCATTTTAGAGCTGCTGCACTTGGCTGTGGTATTTATTGTGTTACGTTTGGCACTAACTGTGTTTGGCTTTTAAAATCATGTCAACATTTTCCATAAAAATATGTTCTATAGCTTCTCTAACAAAAATGGGCAAGTGTTTCAGTAATAAAATGTTAAACAGCTTTTGTGCCTATAAAGATATTAATAGGGCAGAAATCATTTCAACTTACGATATTCAGGCCCTGTAACTCCCATAAGGATTTTAACATAGCCAGAATTTTTATTACTTTTAGCTGAGACAATACTATCTGGGCAATGGAGTCTGTAACTAAGCATACCTAAAAGTATCTAACAACAAGTAGGAAGAAACCTATTCTATTTTTTAAGAATGTTTATTTTAACTCGACTTCAATCCACAAAATGCCTGTGTGTCCACAATGCAATGTATGTGCCATGCAAGATCACCAAACCAAGAACAAAAATGAAGATGTGATTTATAAATACACCAGTTGGCAGTTACACTAAAATAAAAATATACAATAAAAAAATCATTGGAGGGGAACCAAGACTGGTCAGTAAATGCAACTGCATCATTATTCTCACAGGGGGAGACTGTCAAAGGCATGAGGGTGAGTTAAATATCCAGAGCTCAACACATGCCAATATGGGTTGGACGCAAATTGCATTTATGCTTTTCAAAACCAACCCTGTGATTCGGGGAAAAGGGCCATTTTCTGTAAGTGGTAAAAATGAAAAAAAGTTATTTTGAACTCACCATCCACCTTCTGCAAATAGCTTTTTTTTCTTTTTAAGAAAGTAAAAAAAAAAGACTGCCTGTACAGACTACTTGTATCTCACAAGCACAGGACAGGCTAATATAGATAAATTCATTTATTTCCCAAAATTGTAACTAGATTAAAAAACATTTTTACATGGGCAAGTTTTTACTGCCCAGTTTGAAAAGTTTAAAGTCACTGAATTCACAAACGAGTTAGGAAAATTAAGGCCAAGATCCTAAATTCCTTTACAGAAGGGATACATAAAGCATATACTGGTCTCATTTAATTTTTCATCAAAACCTAGCCACCTGGTACAGATTAGACAGCACTCAGCAATATTACATAGCAGTTGCGAACACAACTTGAAGAATACCATATCCATGGAGCCCGTGCGGGGAATGTGGAGAAAGAGGCGGGACGCCATTGCACAGACCAGGACGGGCCCTGGGCTGCTGTGGAGTCACCTCACGTGGGTCTCAAGACCATGTGTGATGTGAAAGCCAGCACCCGCTTTCTAACAACGCGGTACATCCCAGTGACGTGCCACAGTACCGAGGGGGAGAGTGCTGTGCATTGACCAGACACTTGATTATTCCAGGAAGCAAAGAAAAGCCATTTCTCACTTCAGGTTCTTAGGTTCAGTGACCTAATTCTGGTTAGGCTATGATACACACACAAAAAAAACCCCCCATAAATACGAATTAGAGGTAATAGCAATGATTAATAATCCATATGGGTAATAGTCCACATATGTGCATATGGAAAAATCGATATCGGCACAACTGCCAGACAGCAGTGAAATAACGTGCAGAGATACCAGAGCACTCATTGGTTTTAACAGTTGTGCTTCTAGGCACAAACATGCAAACAGGGAATCTTGTTGCACATTAGCAGGTTGTAAATTTCCAAATAAAATGTAGTACTAAAAGTGAAAGGTTGTTTGTTTATTTTTAATAGTACATCTGTTTTATTAAAATAGCAACACTTACATATTAAAGCGCGTCTGGTGTGAGGTGTCTGGTCACCTGAAATTTGTGTGGGAACAAAAAGCATGACAAGAAGCCCACCCAAATATCAGTGTACCTACATGAGGCACTGTTAAATTAATGCTTAATCCTTTTCATTTTCATATAATGGGAATTTATTTGTTAAAACTAGGAATATGTGCTTAAAAAAAATTCTTTCCTAAATTTCCTTTCTAACTAAAGCAATAATAACAATAAAAATAACAACAACAATGAAGACTAGGTTAATGCATCAACTATTTAATCTGCTGAATGTTACATATCTTGGAATGAGCTGGGACATTCTTTAGCAAAGAAGTTTTATGGTTATCTTGAGACATCTGTGAAGATATCATCATGTTCCACAACATATCATCTTAAAAACTGAGTGTGAATTATGGCCTTCCTATAAAAGTGAACATAAGCATTCAAAAAAAACCAAAACTCACTTGAACATCTGTTCATATCTGGCGTTCGGAGTCCATAGTACCCTGATAAGAATAACTTGTGTTGGCATCTGATGCACCCATTATCCTTTGAACAAGATAAACAGCCTTTGCAAATTGGATTTGGTCCATAGCTAGCTGCAAAATAAGAAGACAAATTACACTTCAAGATCATTTGGAAATTATTTTGGCCGGAGATCCTCTTCCCTCTAAAGTGTTACTTATCTACCGCACGGTTACAAGTAGTTTTGAAAGGAAGGTTCTGAAGGTGCACTCATTCTCATATATTTGCAGTGGCAAGTGAATAAAAATAAATGCAATCTCTATATTAATTGTATGTACAGCAATTTAATGAATTTACACGCTTTTTAAATAAAGGTACAGGGAAACAGAGAACAAGATATATAAAGTTCACTGGTACAACTTAAGTAAAACCCAGGTGCTGAATTCTAGTTTGAAGTTGAGCACATAAGCACACAATAGCAGGAAAATATAAGAACATCAGCACCCTGATGTATGCACCCGGAACAGTAGGTCCATGGGAAAACAGCAACCACACTAATGCAACTTCTGGCTTGTGAAGAGAGCAATATTAAGGGCAATGAATTCTACAGTACAGGTCCAGTATTAGCAAAGCATGTTGTCCCATAGCTCTTGGGGTACTAGAACAGCTGTCTTGCAGTCTTTGCTTGGTATTTCTAATGAGAATGTCAAGATGATTATTTAAAAAAAAAAAAAAAAAGAAGAAAGTAGTAGTTTTAACTTCTAAGAGCCTTTTTCTACAAGTTTCTACCCCAAATGGGCTGAAAATCATATGCACAGACATTACCGAAGGAAGGTGTTTAGTGCAGACTACCATTTTAGGTCACCAGCTGCTGTGCTTTCAACTAATTCTATTCTAATTCTAGGCTCTTTTTTCTTTTTTCTTTAAATTACTTGGCTGATATTGCAACACAGCCCTTAGCTGCATCACTCTTTGCCCTAATGAGCTTTTACTACCCTGCCTTTCTGCAGAGTTGCAGAACACTCCCCTGTCCCCATGGGCTGTCAACTCCTTCTCAGGGTGCTGAGTCAGCACAGCAGGTTAGCAGAGGGAGGATAGCTCAAGACATTTCTGAAACCAGCATAACTTAACAGGTCTGTTTTAAATATTAAATTGGCTACAGGACTTCACAGAAATTTGCCAGTTCAAACCTGGTTTACTGGAAACAAAAGAAAAATATTATGCAACACAAGGAAAGGGTCTTTGGGGTCTCAAGAGCTTTTTAAGAGAGGCCACTCTGAGGGCAGCTGGCCAAAAAGGGCAAAGACTACATTTAGTTGTTAAATTTTAAAATATTTTAAAGTATTCACACCCTAACATAGTACTCTAGTACTTTTATCTTGTATGGATGGATAATTGAGGTTGTTCAATGGATGACTTCACCAGCAGAGCTGGGAAAAGAAACAAGGAAAAGCCCACCACCCTGTGGAACCAGTAGCTGATAAGCTTTACTCTCACCTTCACACATCTGCACACCACATTCCCACTCCCTTTCTGCTCCCGTCCCCCCCACATGCCTCTCAAGTTCAGCACAACAGCATTCAACTCCGATCTTGTATAAAATAATCTTAGTGGGTGGCAGGCAAGATGAGAAACCAAGCAACTCCATGTGAAACAGGTCAGCCAGTGGGACACCTTCTGAGTGCTGGAGTCCTCTGGCACCAGGCTCACCTGGTGAGATCCTCTTGATGGGAATAGCATCCTTACCCTCTATGGTAAGGCAGACCAACTGCCTTATACTCCTAAACCAGTTCCCTTGTCCTGTTGCCCACAAGACCTCAGATACAACTTTTCTTACAGTTTGTCTTGCAACTATTCTCATTCACAATCCACATGTTCAAAGACATACAAGAAGAGAAACAAACAGATGATGAACTAGGCCTGGATGCATCCCTCATCTCACTGTCGGCAGGGATTGCCTATCAGTAACCACATCAAATAATATGTGACCATGTACTCCAAAGCTATTGTTGCTTAACACATGGTGGACTGCAGACTTCTGAATCCCCTTTTAGTCTCCTTGCATCTCACTCTCAGTAAATCTGTGCCTCCAGCTTGTTCAGGGTTCCTCAGAGAAGCCTGTACTTTTACAAAAGAATTAAAAGGAACAAAGCAAAAATAAAGATGAGAGATGCCTGAACTTATTAACCACTCAAAGCATTTTTTGGAGTCTGAATCAGCTGAAATGAGGATCTCATACACAGTATGCTATTTCTTCCCCAAATCAAGGATTTATTTTTTCTCTATATCCCTCTTGAGCAGCTACACAATACTGACATCAAATAACCCAGCTCCCCAGTTCACTCCAGGCTTCAGCCTTGACTGGCCACCCTGTGTAGTTGTCACTCCAGCCCTATGCTCTTCTCTGGAGTGAACTAACTCCTTCCAAAACATAATCCATATGTGCCCCTGAGGAGAGTCCACTCCAAGGAATCCTCCAAGTAGGCAACATGAACAAGACTGCATCACTCTGTCACATAATTCTCCTTCTCTTTTCTAGCACTCTGGAGCAGGACTCACCCCTTACATCTGGGTACCCCTTTCATTAGGGGTACCCCTTACACTCACACCATCTAACATGTAACAGTTGTACAACCCTTGCATTATTTCAAAAACTTTGAACAGGGAGAAGGATATATATGATTATGACTTAGGTCCAGGCCAATTGCTGAGCAACATGGGTATAGCTAAAGGCTACTATTCTCTGTAGTCTGGTTTGGGGATCAGGATTACGCTCTTGAGCAGATACATTTGTAGTATCCATGTAGGTCTCATGTCCACCTTCCCTGATTGACCCCCATTACAATTCAGACTTCCTGGCTACAAAATATGTCTCAGTTTGACTCTACTGTCCAACTTTCCTTTATCTACGACTATCTACATGTTACTCTCCTCAAGTACCTCCTTCTTCTATTTCTGGTAAGATGTCTTTATTGATAGCCCTTTGTTCTGCAGACAAATTTAATTATGCTGACTTCCCTGGGCTTCAGCCATAACTCTGTCCTAACATACTCTCATACGAAAAGGAGCTAACAACATAAAATGATCCTCCATTATCTTGTGCTATCATTTGTTTAAAAGATGGACAGCACATCTTTCACAGCTTAAGGTCAACACAAGATATATGAAAGTGTTCAATAATATAGTCATTTTGCAAGTTGTATATATTTATCCCAAAATTTTAACTTGTGTGTAGGTCCTCAAACCATGACATCTAGGTTCCCCTTCTTCTTTATCTCCTGAGCAGCCTTAACAAATGATTTGTAATTTCTATGCCTGTATTTTTTTCTCTCTTATAGGAATGCTGTGAGATTCAGTTCATCAAAACTTGTAAACTGCTCTTATATCCTCAGTTGTGAGGTATTATAGATGTGATGGGTGTATTTTTATGTAAATGAATGAATATTAAACTCACACATTGAACTTGGATACCAGTTCAAGACAGTCACATAGTTAATGGTCAAGTAGTGACGACTTTCCCTGTTGCTCTCCTAGTTACTAAGTTACAATAAAAAACTAAAAATGCATCAGATATTTTCTTTCTTTACCATGTTAGGAAAAAAAATCACTGAACAATTATACAATGGTAAGGGAAGAGAATATGATTTATGCTATAATACAGGGAGTAAACTTCATGAAGGAATCTGAAAACTTCCCACTGTGTTGCTTAGGCACGAAACCGAATAATTTCCAGGTATTTTGCATACAGTAAGTTATTGTGAAGTGTATATCACAGAATAAGTATTTTGCCACTTTGTTATTGCTTATAATCTTTCCTAAGCTTCATGGGAAGCATACTGACTTCTGCGACCTTTCTGTCAGCTCAGCTTGTCCCAAAGCTGGGAAAATCATCATATGCTCTACTGATAACTTACTTGGAGACTGAACATACACTTTAACAAATCAAATATACCATAGCACTGGTTTTGGTGTCACATAGGCATGCCATCTTGAAGATACCAACTTAAGTTTCTCTCTTTTCCCCTATGTACACAGGCTATAAGTAAATCCTACAAAAATCCCCCCCTGCTGCAAAGTCTTCCCTTTCCATCTTGGTTTCTTAACACAGCAAATACGCCTTCTTATCACATACAGTTTTTTTCAATTCTCATATAGTTGCTCTTTGAAGGAGGAAGTGAATGCCTCTGTGCTCAGCAGAAACATCTATACACTTCCTTTTGAATTTCTTCATAACCTCTTCTTTTCCCTGCTGTATTAGACTGCAAGAAAAAATAACAAACTTACAAAACATGGACAATCACAGTCCAAGTTACCAGCTGCGTGATACGGAATGCGCACCATTGCTCTACTCTCAGTTCTCACATCTCTATTTCAACCCTGCCTAGAACACCCTCCTCAATTCTGTGTGCCAGGCAGGCAGGTTTCCTCTGGCCAAATCCCTCATGGAAACTCGGTCCTTCCACAAGGCCCACAAATGTTAACCAGTGTCAGAGCGCTGCTGTCGTCACATCATAAAACTGAAAATGCACACATGCTCTAAGTTAGCACCGTCCTCTGGGTCTCAAAGCACGTGATTGCCCTGACTGTCTGTTCAGATCGTAGGGTCCTTGCAGCAGAAGCAGTGTTTTGTACAGACACATAAGTATGTACCCGGGTGTGAACAACGCACATAAACACAAACACACACCTTTATACAGGAAACACATTTTCTATTCCTTCTGCTTACTGCTTCAACAGCTATACTCTAGAGCATCTCTAAATTTAAATAAAAAATACAGACATGATTCCCTATGTTGCTTTTTTATTTCAAATCTGGGATTAAATTTGCCAAATTTGAAAGGTTACTTGAGAACACAGACTAGTACCCAAAAGCTGAACGAAACACTGAACTCTAAGGGTGTTCAAAATTTCATGGTTTGGATCCATATCAAGTAAAATCAAATGTCAGCTAATTAACTCTTGTCTGGATCAAATGTATTTAAGGCATATTGCTGAAGTGGTTTTAAGTGAATAGTTATGACTATTTGAAAACACAAGAGAATGAACAGTACCAAGTGAGTCTAGCCTGTTCCCCACAACAATACAAGTTGTTTTGTAAGCAGGAGAACTAAGAGCATTTGATTTCTGATGATCT